GGGAAAGAGGGATGCAACCTTCTCTATCCCTCCCATCCCATGGAAAATATTGAGAAAAACTCTTTTTCTTAGAAGCAGTGACCTTCCCTTTACCCAGTCTTTCCCATCCTATCAGCCATGCAGCCAGAGATTGTCACGCAACTACCCTGAAAGTCCTTTCCCCATTAGGAGACAGCAAAGTGGCCACAGGCAATGAAGTCCTGGCTTCCCATGAGGCTCCTGGCGAGACCTAAGCCCCACCCACCAAGACTAACGGATGCCAATACTGTCACCAGAGAAGGCCGGATGGCAGGTGCCTGGGACAGGGGCAGGTGCCCCAGGAGGGCATGTACAGCTACTGTAAATAACCTTCTTCCCCACCCAGCAACCCAGACTGGACTCCAGTCTCCTTTCATGGAGACACAGGCTTCCCGGGAGCCACCAAACCTCCTTAGTGGGACAGCCATGGGAGAGGCACCTGCTCCTCCTGTTTGGACTGCCTTCCTTCAGACAGCTCCAGGGGATCCTTTTGCTGGGGCTCCTAGCAAACCCTTTATTTATTTATTTATTTATCTGTTTATTTATTTATTTATGTGATCTCTCTCTCTCTCATTAGCAGTATTTATTTATTTATACAGAGAGGCTGTGTGTATGTGTTTGGGGAGGGGCTCTTAATTATTTTTATGTCTCTCTTCCTTCCTCTCCCTCCTTCTCCCTCTCTCCCTCTCCCTCTCCTTCTGTCTCTATGGATGGGATTTGAGAGGCCGGATGTGGGTGGGATGTTAGCCTTTTCCCCAAGGGTTCTAAGCCTAGAACATCCTGGAGTTGGCCTGGGAGCCTATCGGTCCCAGGACCCATTACTCAGCCTTATGTCAAGGAGGTTCAGGCCTTTGCCTGAGCCCCTTCCCACCATCTTCCTCAATGAGGCGTCAGAAAGGTGCAAACAGCCAAGAGGCATATGAGCTGCCAAGCTACCATGCTGAACTGACAGGGCGTGGAGGAGACAGGAAGTTGCCATTAATGTGGAGTCTAAAGTTAGCGTGTAAGACAAAAGTCACACAAAGTCGAAATCCCTCGTGCAAGTCCCTTAGGGAGGCAGACAGCTGGAAACAGATGTGCTGTCTCTTGAAAGATCCATGAGGCTTCAGTACTAGTTGCCTGTGTTTGGGTGACCATGGTGAACAAAAATGACATCCAGTTTAATGCTGAAATAGCACTTTAGAGAGTGCGGCAGCAGCAATGAGCTGACTGGCCTCACCCTCACTCTGGGCCGGAATCACTTACCCGGCTCTGAGCACACCTAGTTGGTTTCACATCAGTTACATGTGCTCCACCTCCACCTTCCCTGACTTCTCCACCTCCTGAGGTTTGAAGGCTGCCCTTTTCCACTGGCGGTGGGTATACTTAGCCATCCTGGGAGAGTCTCACAAACCCAAAGCAGAAACCCTTTTCTGTAATCTCTGTTGCATCAGGGAAGAACACAGTAATTAGAAAACAAACCAACAACAACAACAACAACAAAAAGACAAAATGAAAGGAATAGCCAGCTATTGTCCCCAAGGACATTTCCAAGCTCGGTTTGAACAACAGGATCCAGAGGCCTTTCTCAGTCCTGTTTCTCTAACCAACTGGCTGTATCTATTGGCTGCTGGATGGAGAGGGTCTTTCTAAAGTCACCATCCGCTGCCTTGCAAGTTCCAGGTTGCCTGGTCCAGCTTTGGGTTCGGTGAGATGCTTACAATAGCTCTGGCTGTTTCCCTGACAACGTGACTGCTTTGCTCCCACCCAATCATGGAGTATCTGTATCTGGGAGAAAGTTTGCCAAGAAAGCTGCCTAAACACCTTCTGAGAGGAACTCTCTGGCTGTCTCTCTCACTTGGTGTGTTTCTCTAATTTCCTTTAGACTTTCTTTATTCCCATCCAAAATGAAAACCTCATGGGGCCACGATAACCTCAACCGGCACCCTCGATCGCTGGTATTTCTGTTCCTAGGTTCATTCCACCCTCATACCTTCTGCTTCCAAGGACCAAGACAGAGCACCTGAAACCCGCTTGTGGTGAGGACTTATCTCAAAAACCAACACTCAGAATGGGAGAGGGAGGGGGACGTGGCTTGAGGTCAAGTGACCTACGACCCATACCCTTTGACCTTCCCACGATGGATAAATGAAACTGGGCAAATAGATCCCTGTCCTTGGGTCAAAGTTCCCACCTGTGTGAAGCGGGAGGGTTTTTGACACACACGATGGATAAATGAAACTGGGCAAATAGATAGATACCTGTCCTTGGGCCAAAGTTCCCACCTGTGTGAAGCAGGAGGGTTTTTGACCCGCAGTCCACCATGTTGACCTGAGGCCTGAGAGTCACCCAAAGCAGGGCAGTCTTCCCTGAGACTCAGAGGAAAAAGGGGAAGCGCCTTTGACGTGTTTAGGAGGTTCTCAATAGCAACATCTGAATTGTCTTCAGTTGATTAAGAAAATCCAACTCCAAGCCCCCATGGGGGAACATTTATTTCATCGAGGTCCCTATCTTTATTTCTTCCCCGTACATCTTCCCAAAGCAAAATACAATTAAGATGTACGAAAGACACAGGGGTCTCAGTCTCGCTTCATTTGCTTAGATAGACCTCCTTCCGAAAAAAAGAGTCTGCTTGAAGGTGAGAAAAACAAGGGTAACCTCCATCTTCTCCCATATTTTTGCCCACAAATATTCAGAATAGTCTCACATGTGTATGCATTGCTTTGCTTTTCCCTTCAGACAAATAGAACATTGTGTCTATTAATAAAACCAAATAAAAACAGGATCCCTCCCCCCCCCATTGGCCAACTGAGTCCAGTTAAGGCACGGACGCCAGATATGACGTCATCGATCGAGCAACACACCAATGAGCCAAGGATCCTGACACCGTTGTCATCTCCTCTCTGTCTATGGCCAGCGTTTTTGTTTTTGAGTTATTTTGGTGTTGTTGTTTTGCATTGTAAATACTGTGATGGGGGACCCTTATTGTAACTCAGCTTATTTAATAATTTATTTCCTATTTATTGAGTGGTATTGGGAGAGGAGAGGGACCGCTTTTTCCCTTGAATTGCTGTTGGAAATCAGTCCTTCTCCCAGCTATGGGTGTTTTGGTCTACGGTGAGGGCATTATTGCCCAGGTAATGAGCACTAGAATCACCAAGCAAATTGGAATTGGCAGAGACGAAGGCTTCAGTCATACAAATTAAGCTCAAATGGAACTAAAACAGTGGTTATCTCTGGGCAAACCTCATTTAGATGGAAATTAATTGAGGAATAAAATGCCTATGCACGAACCAACTTGTATTAAAAAGTCACAACTCCTTGGGAAAAAATATGAAAAAGAGGAGAGAGAGCGAGCGAAAACAAAAATTGTCCTTCCTTTTCTCTGGCCACAAAAAGCTATGCCTCATCTTCTAACGAGCTGAGCCCGAGAGTGCGATGGTATTTCTTTGTGGTTTTCTTACCCGTGTATCTGTCTGGAGGAAATGAAATGGGTCTCTGGCCTCAGTCTTGTCATCTGTCAAATGAGATCTGGCCTAAGTAGTCTTGGCGAGGTTGGGGGAGAGGGTTACAGCCCTTATGCCATGGAGTCCACACTGTTGGACACACTGTCCATTGTGTCTTCTGCGGACTGTAAGTTGACATCTCGGGGGGTGGGGGGCAAGTCTAGTGCTTGGAGTTCATTTGTAGGTTGAGGTTGCTGAGTCCCACAGGGGGCTATGGGAGACTTCAAGGAGCTGCCGCCTTGAGAACTCTTGGATTGAGGTCTTCTGTATTGAGCTGGAAGTTCTCTCCAAGCCACGTGGTTCTGAGTCCTCACAAGAGAGGCAAAGATGGTTTGCTCTGCCCGCGTTGGAATAACCAGTGACTTGGGTCATATTGCCACTTTTCAGATGAGAAAACTGAGGCCTGGGAAGTGGAACTGACACGCTCAAGCTCCCTTGAGCTCAATCTATTTGGTTCCATGTCCTGAGTTCCCTCGGGAGCTCTTCCTTCAGGAGCCCCTGCTATAAGGACTTCTCTGTATACTGTGTCTTTTCTCTACCAATTCTGAGCTATTTCCTCAAGCAGTCATTGGCCAAGGACCTAGCAGAATCCCTCACATTGGTCCAGAGGACTTGGTGCACCCCAAGGCCATTCTTCTACTTTGGGTGGCTGGGACTCCCATCTGGGAAACCCCAACCCAGAAGATCCACCACCAGCCCAGCTTAGCCTGACCAGCTAACCTCTGCCTGGGGTGTCCACATCAGAGGGAGAGAAGCTGCCGTGTCGTCCAGCATCCTGGGACCCTGTCCTCTGCCCAGTGACACAGCGGCCATGGCTTGTTTGATTTCTGGTCTTCACAGCTAAGCATAACCTTCATGGGGTTTCTGGTTTTTCAGCCTGTACGAAACATGTCTCTGTTCTAATTAAAGGTCCATGGTATGGTGTTCTCCTATACAGCCCAGCGTCGTCTGTCTCTATGGGGTGCTAGGAACAGAGAGGAGGGAGGGAGCCGGGGAGCTAGAGAACACTTAAGCACCGTCACTGCTTGCCTACATGTTCACCTTGCTCAGTTCGCTTCTTTAATCTTTTCAACAAACCTGTAAACCTATTGGTTATACATGGGGTCTTCAAAGTTTATAGAAAATGCTGTTATGCTCACCCCGGGCATGTGTGTGTGTGTGTGTGTGTGTGTGTGTTTGCCCAAAATCCTGAGAGGAGAATAAGGAGAAGGGATTGCGGTGTGGTCATCCTTCTGGGGGGTGATTTCTCTCCCCGGTGATGTCACTCTCTGCCTCTCTGACAAGCACATGTGTCCTATAGCAAAATTCTCTCTCTAAAAAAGAGGGAAAAAATGTGATTATGGGGCCAGTCTTGTGGCCTGGTGGTTGGGAGAGCCAGATTCCCTGTGTCCAATTATACAACTTCAATCCCAAAAGATGTAATGGCACATGAGCGTGCATACCCCAAATCTCAACAGGATGGAGAGATGGAGAAGAGAGTGTGGCTTGATCATGCTCCATTGGGGGGGGGGCATGATTCCTTCCTCTCCTTTTCTGTCTGTCTCTGTCTCTTTCTCTCTCTCTCTCTGACATGGGCACGCACTCTCTGGAAAATTAAAAAGAAAATGAGTATTATGAAAACATTATGCATCAGTTACAATGTTTTGCACCAGAATACACTTGTATTTTAATTCTACTTTTCCATTTTTTTGAAGTCCCTGTGTGTATGTGTGTGTGTGTGTGCACATGTGCACTATTTATATATATTATCTTAACCTTCAGTACAGCCCTATGAGTTAGGTATTAGCAACTCCTTCTTATATAGAGGAAAACTGAGGCCCAGAAAAGCGAAGTGACCTGCCCAAAAGCCACAGAATCCAGGCAGATGGACTCCGACCCTCAGCTGCCAACCATTCTGCTCTTTAGGTGGTGCAATGAGTGAACAGTTTTCCTCAGTAGGATGGGTTATCCGAGACCTTAGTGGTTGGGGTGAAGTTCAGTGTCATCACTGATTTTAGATTCCCAAAGATTTCGATTGAAT